TAATATAATGATAAGATTATTACTTAGATAATTGAAAAGCTATTTTTCTTAGAAAAATTTGGTTATTGAGTTAATCTTCCTTGATAGATTTTTCTTTTTATATTCAGAGAACATTTTGTATCATTATTTCGTTTTTGTTTTATTAATTCATTAATGACTCAATATAACTTGAAAACTTTTTAGTCTTATTGTAACTTTAGTCTTTAAATTATATTTCTTGGTAGATAATTGCTTATTTTTCCTTTTATTTTCTTGTGTTTTTAAAGGTTTGAGTTCATGTTGACAATAACTTGGTATGTTAAGACAGTATAGATATTCTTAGATATTTCTTTAAAATAATTTACACCTTTACGATGAGATTAAATTTCCTTTTTATTAACCAAATTCAACAACAAATTTCTTTTTATTTTTGGATAATCCTTGTTATATATCACTTATTACTTATAGAATAACTTTGATTAAAAAAAAGAATTTCTTTTGTTTTTTGGGTCAAAGTAGTTATAACTGAATAATCCATTCAAAATGAGTCTTCAATACCAACACCCTTATTTATCATTTATGGCATTAGACCCTTCAATTAAAAAGAAAATGCCATTAACACAGATTGTGGCTATTCATGATGATTTGATTAGTAGATCAACAATTCGTGGAACATTACTTCTCAGGAATGGTTTGTTGATATTTTAATGACACATCAAAAGAAGTCTTATAAATTTAGAGTTAACCAAACAATGGTATGAATTTTATGTCATTGTCACAACCCCTTATTTATTAATTTTTGAGTCAGAAGAAGTTTGTAAACTCATCTACTAATATTCCTTCAAATTTTTTTTTGGTGAGGAATTTTTCTAAGATAAAAAAAGTAATTAATAACTGTGAATAGAAAATGAATAAAATGGAATATTATGCTATAGTAAATATTTGTGAATGTTCTATCCATGTAAGAGAATCTAAAATGCCAGGTTTTTGTTTTAAAATTGAAGCACTTAAAAAAACACTTTGTTATAAACATGGACTTAATGGAGAAACATTGTCTAAACATAATGACTTATTCCTTGTCTTTAGAAATGAAAATGTTATTAAAGGTAAAGAATGGTTTACTCAAATAGAAAATGCTATTTCTTTAGCTATAACAAAATATAAGACCCAACCAACAAGTACTGTTAGAGAACAATTTGACTCTTCTTCAAAAATTAAACCAAGTTTACCTCCTAAAACATTTGAGATGATTAAGTCAACCCCCTATATAAATGTACACTCATATAACGAAGAAGACATTAAAAAAGTTAAACCATTATCTCCATCAAGTAGTTTATCACAAATAAATGCATTAAAGACAAAACAAATAGAACAAATTCAACCTGTTCCTGAAATAAAAGACACAAAAAAACAAAAAAAAGAAGAAACACTTAAAGAAGAAAAAGGTGTTATTAATAACTCTCTTCAACAATCATTATCTCATTATGTGTTAGCACAAAATGATTTAAAAGAATTTTTTGATGCTACTGAAGAAGGTAAGTCAATTATTTGGGAATTATTGAAACAAGTTAGACCAGGAATGGACTTGAGTAGAATAACTTTTCCATCACATATTCTTGAACCACGTTCATTCTTAGTTAAAACAACTGATTATTTTGCTCATATTCAATATTTCAAACCAATAAGTGAAGAACCAGATCCTGGACTAAGAATGCTTGGTTTAGTTAAATGGTTATTAAGTGGATTTTATTTAATGCCTACTGGAATTAAAAAACCTTATAATCCAATTCTTGGAGAGACATTTAGAACTATGTGGAAACATGAAGATGGAAGTAGATCTTATTTACTTGGAGAACAAGTCAGTCACCATCCTCCAGTATCTGCATTTTATGCAACAAATAGACAACAAGGATGGATGGGAAATGGATATATTGATTTTACTACTAAATTTAATGGACTAAGTGCTTCGATTATTCTTGGAGGTAAAATTGATATTTATTTATTAAATTTTAATGAACATTATACTATGACATTCCCTGAGGCACTTGCTAGTGGATTTTTTGTTGGTCCAATGTTAATGGAAATTGCAGGTAAATCAGTATTTGAATGTAAAGAAACTGGGTATAAAGCTGAAGTAATTTTTAATCTTCGAGGTACATTCTCATCTGATAAGTATCAAACAGTAGATGCTAAGATAACTAAAAATGGGGAGGAAGTTTATAAAATATGGGGAAATTATTATAAAGAATTATTTTATTGTGGTAAAGACAAAGTAAAGAAAAGTTTATTAAAGATTGATGATATTAGGGGAAAGAGTGTACCAAGATATACCATTGATATGAATCAACAAGGTAAAATGGAAAGTGATAAATTATGGATCAAAGTTACTAACGCTATTTATAAAGGAGACCAAATAACTGCTACTGAAGAAAAATGTATCCTTGAAGAAGCTCAAAGAGAAGAAGTTAGAAAACATGAGTCAGAAGGAACTGTTCATATTCCAAAGTATTTTGTTAAAGACTCATTCCTTGGATGGAAGTATGTTGATTTCAATAATTCAAAATTTAATCCTGATAAAGAACTTGGAGATTATGAAGATGAATATCATATTAAACCATTGTTAAAAGAACAAAATGATTGTATTGGTGATGGAAAACAAGTAAAAGAAGAGCTTCTTACTTCTTCTAATGAAACTAATAATAGTGAGACATTAAAGACTGATCATCAGAGTAGTATGAATACCCAAAATTCAGGTGATGAAAAATGTAAGAAAGTAGATGAACTAAAAGAAGAGCTTAACCAAGTAGAGGCAAGAATCAAGAATATCACTTTCACCCAAAATCAAAAAACTATAGATATAATAAAACAATTAAAGAAGTTTATTGTTATATTATTATCAATAAACATCGTTTTAATAGCATTGGTACTAAAGTTACTGTTAAAGTAAACATGCTATCTCATTCATTTTATTAAAATTTATTTTATGTTGTTTATTTCTAAGTAAAATAAAAATAGGAAAAAAATTTCATATCAATAAACATCACATCAAATATATAAAAACTAATAACCAAAGAAGAAGAAATTCATATCAACCAAGAAATATAGATGATAGAAGAATGAATGAAAATAGGTATTATCTGTATTGACAGAGATACATGAATAATCACACTAATCATTACAATAACAATTATAACAATAATTATCACAACATAGATGATACAAATCGTTTCACTCATCACTTCAATTATAATCATCGTCATAAATACTTTAATAATAACTTCAATAGAAATAAACAATATCAATATAAGAAATAAAGATCATAAATAACACACAAAGAATGTATAAACAACATCAAAACTTGAATATTAAACACAGTAATAGGAGAAATGATAGAAATAATAAAAGAAAATCCAAATTGAATAATTAAAAGAATGAATAAATCATTTGGTAAGAAGATTAATTTTAATGAATTAATGGAGATAATAGAATTAAATGAAAGAAAGCACAATGTAAAGGAAGTATTTGAATGGGTAAATAATGAATTAAATGATAGATATTTAAATGAATGGAAAGAAAAGAAATGTGGTGAATATATAAGATGTGCAAATGGCACTTTCAATGATAAGAAATTAACAGTAGCCACTTGGAGGTCATTAAATATAAAAAGAAATGCATTCCTCCAAATAGTAAAAATGCAAGAAGGAGTAACTATGACAGGAAATATTAAATCTAAAATACTCCAAAATGATGATTTAAAATATTGTAAACATTGTCATAACACAATTGCATCTATTAATCATATCTTGTTATGATGTCCTGTAATGAAAAAGAATCAAATATCAAAACATGATTATGTTTGTAAACAAATATTTAAACACATATTAATTACACAATTTAATGAATTTGATTCAATTGACTTTAATAATCCTCCTAAATGTATTAATAAAATGATTATAACTTACAATAAAGATTTATTTGTTAATGACAATTCATTTCCATGCTAGAATATAAGATATATATTATCAAAATATTACAGAAAAGAAATGATATATCATAGATGTTTGCTATATGTCAAGATAATAATTTAGAATTAAATTATATTCACAAAATAAATAAGTATAAAGAATTACAAGAGAAAATAAGAAATAATAGAGAAATAAAATATGTAGAAATAATACCTGTAATATTATCAATAAATGGATTAATACATAAAGAGTCAGCAAAAAGATTAAAATCACTAAAATTACAATTAGACTTTTCCACAATCATACAAACAATAATTATCAAAAATATGAAAGACTTAATGTTTTACACATTCAATTCTGACAGCACATTAGAAGAAGAACAATCTAATGCGAGTATGTTAGAAATGAACTCTATTACACCAATAGAGCATATTGAAGAAACTGAAATAATCACTTCTCAATAATCATAAAATCAAATAATGGATATATCTAATAATTGGTATTTTTATTATTATTTCTTTTGTTTTCTTTGTTATTTATTATTTTTGCACTTTTAAATCTTCTGTTTCTTTGTTCATTTTTAATTTCTGCTTCATTTCTTTAATTTCTTCTTTGATTCTTTCATTTATCTTATTCTTTTTTATTGAATATACTTCTTGAAGAATATCATACCATCTTTTTCTTTTATTTTCTTACCTTTTAAGTATTTCTGAATATTCTCCTTTTTCTATTTCACTTCTTATTCTTTTTATTCTTCTTTGTATATCATTTATATTTGTTATTTGTATAATCTTTATTATTATTGTATTTACCTTGTTTTTATTTGTATTATCCTCTTTCTAATCCCTTTTTCCTTGACATTTCAATTACCTTTATTATTGGTATGCCATTTGTTGTTATTGAAATTCATTCTATTATATGACTTTGGACTTCTTTGTCTTGTTTAATTTTCTTTACAATACACATTGTTATTACTCAATAACCATGAAATAACTTATGTTGTTTATCCTGAATTGGAAAAGTGCCTTAATAAAATAAGAATAAATAAAAAATAATTTAGTCAAAAGAAGAGAATTTTGGTTTTTTTTCTTCAGTGTGTTGTTCATCAGAATGAAATGAATTAATAGAGTCATCATCTTCAGTGATAATTTCTTCATTTAACTTTTTTAATTCGGTTTGGATTCTTCCTTTTTCAAGAGTTCTTCTTTCAAATATATTTAATTCTCTTCGTAAGTCATTAATACTTTTACATGAAATAATTATACTTTGATTCATACCTTGTTTAATCATTCTAGATATAACCATTTGTTCTGGAGTAAACTTTTGTTCAATTTCATGTGGAATTGTTAGGTATTTTTGAAGTATTTTATTAATTTCTTCAATTTGTTCAGTTCGTTTTTTTGCAAGTTCTTTCATTTTTGTTTGTTTTGGATGTTCCATTAATGGAAAACAAGTAATACTTTCAAGAAATGGAACACATGTTTCAATAATGTATGTTAAATATCTAGGTAAATTAGTTATTCCAATATTTTCACTTCCACTCATCTTATGACTAATTTTTACTAATTGCTCTGTTATTTCTCTAATTCTTTGTTCAATTGTACTATTTTTTACTTGACATTTATTTGCTAATCGTTGTCTATCTATTCTAATATGGTAACTTTCACATACAATAGCATATATTCCTCCTACTACTGACATTACTTTTCTTCCTGCTTGACTTTCACTTTCTTCAATAAGTCCTTGACATATATTCATTATATCTATGATTTCTTCTTTTTCTTTTTTACTAACATTTGCTGGTGTTACTTCATTAACAATATAATAAATACAATAACTACTATCCATCGTTAAATCAACTTCTTTCATTTCTTCATCTTTCTCTTTAATTTCTCTTGCTATTTTAAGTATTTCTCTTGCTGGCGTTCTAACTGCTTTAGCAACTTCAATAAATGTTATTTGTCCTTTAGTATTTCCTATTTCTTTTTTGTCTGAATATTCTCTACTTAATAAATAAACTACCGCTGCTACAATAATTTCTCCTTTTCTTCCTCCATGAAGTAATCCAATTTCTTCAAGTCTTCTTAAATATCCTAAAACATCATTCTTATTAATTTCACTTTTAGTTCTTTCAATTACTTGTTCAACACATCTCTCTAATTTTTTTACTTTTCTTTCTTCTTTACTCATTATTTCTTGTTGTCCATTAAACACTCTTCCTTCTGTACTAATAATATCATTAACATATGTTTCTTGTTCATATAGTACTAATCCACAATTTGTACATATTCCTTCATTATCAATTATTCCTTGACATTCTGGACAATACTTACTCATATTTTCTTTTTATGCTTTTTATTCTTTTTTTTTAAGTTTTTATGATATATTAGTCTTTATGAAACTCCAACCTGAATCTTTATTTTATTAATCAATTCATTCTTCTGTTTTTCCTTCTTCTTTTTGTTCAATTCCATTATAATCTATCTCAAGGTCTTCTAGCATAGTAACAATTAATGCAAGTTTCTTTTTCTTTTCTATCAACTCTTTTTTTAATCTATCTCTTTCTTTGATTAAATCTTCACCTTTGTTTGTTTCTTCTTCCATATCAATATCTTTTTTTTTTTAAGTTCTTAATTTCTTTATCTCTTCTTCTTCTTTTATGGAAAAATTAAAAAGATAATTAAATTATTGTTAATTTTATTCATATTTTTGTATTAATGTTTGTTCTTTCATTCCTTCAACCCATTCTTTACTTGTACTTGTTGCTCTTACAATTTTATTTACCAACATAAATTTAAGTAATTTGTTCATGTCTAATTCACTTTCTTTGTTCATTTCTTTATATTCTTTCCATGTAACTTTACCTTCAATACCAACTACAAGTCGAAATATATCCATACGACTTCTTTTAATTATTGAATACTTTTTGCAATATTCAATACACGTTTGAAGCATTCTTTCATTTTCATATAATTCTAATATTTTCTTTGTACATTCATATCTTTTCTTATCTTCAATTTTAGGTATCATAACTACATATCCTCCATACACAAGTTGTTTTAATCCTTCTGATACTATTTCATAACATGAATGACTTGCTTCAATAATTTCTCTTCCTGTTCTTTCCCCATTAATATATGGTAAAATTTCATTTATTCCAATATCCTCTTCTCCAGCTCCTAATTCATTGACTTTAACTGGAACTTCATCTATTCTTATTTCTTCTATTGGATTAGATGGATCAATTGCTAGTCTCACTCTCATTTGTATGTTATTTCCAAATTCAACGTTACAAAATCCATATGTATTTAAACAATTCCTTAAATACTTAATAATTTCTCCTAACCCTTTACGTTTCTCTTCCTTTATTATATAGTCTTCATTAATTTCTAATATTCTCAATTCTTTATTTATTTGTTTAATAATCGCTTCATAACAACTTATTGCTCCATCCGTTGTTCCTTCATCAAATACAAAACATAAATTGAATAGTAATGCATTTCTCCCATATTTCCCATGCTTTATCATCGTGGGATATCCAACATACGTTTTTCTTTCTGACGTAATTTTAACTAATCGATTGCAAAATCCTTCTTTTGGAATAACAAAATCTGATATTGAACTAAATACCTCCGCCTCGATTGCTTTTTCTGGGTCTTGATACACTACCATTGGCCCATTTGTATTGTCAAATAAACAAAAGAAAATACTTGACACTTTCGTTCCCATTCCTTGTGTTTCTTCTTTTTTAGTTTCTTATTTTATTATCCATCTTTTCTTCTCTCTTTTCTTTCTTTATTCTCTTTATTCTCTTTATTCTCTTTATTCTCTTTGTCTTCATTGAAATTCTCTTGTCACTTCTCTTTGTGTTGTGTTCTTTTGAATAACCTTTATTGGTGTTACTGACTATTATTTTTCTTATCATTTGTATTATGTCTTTACAAGGATTTCTTTTTCTTTATTATGTAGTGTGTTTTTTATATAACAAATAAAACACTGTTTACAATAACCATGTTCCAATGACTACCCAAAAGAGAGTGAGAAAGTAGGTTTAGTAGCAACAGGAAATTAAGCAATGAGATGACTCAATAACCCAACGCATAGAAAGAAATTCATAATACACAGTAGATTAGAGTTGAAGTAATGAATGGATAAGAATGGATAAGAAGATGAACGAGAACAACGAGGTAGCTAAGAAGGGGAGAAATGGAGAGAGACAAAGAAGGGATGATGGAGAAGCACAACGAAAAGAAAAAGGATAGGAGAGAAGAAAGAGGACGAAAGAGTAGAAATTCAACAGAAATACAAAGAATTGGAGAGGGAGTGGAAGTTCAGTTGAAAAGAAAGGAGAAATAGAAAGCGAAAGAAAAAAAAAAGACATAGAAAGAAAAAGGAAGAGATAAAGAAGAAGAAAAAGAGAGAAAAAGTTGAAAAAGAGAAGAAAAAACATTGAAAAAGAGGAAATAGAAGAAGAGAAAAAGAAAAAGAAGGATGTGGCACCACGGGGCAAAGGACATAAAAATAAGAGAACAACTAAAAAAGATATAAACATGGCACAATTAAAAGCAGATCTTTCTAATTTGGAAGAATGCCTTCCAACTACACTTTCACAAGAACAAAGAGCAGTTGCTAAAACACAATTCTACAAAGAATTAGCAGAGAAAGTACATAAATTTTATAAAGGAAAGATTCAAATTATGCCAAAATGTACACTTGCAGGATTTAATTGGTTTAATGCATATTATACACCAGGAGTATCAAGAATCTCAACAAATATTAGAGATAACAATGATTCATCATTATTCTATTCATTAAGAGGAAACTTTGTAGGAGTAGTTTCAGATTCCACAAGAGTTCTTGGAGATGGAGATGTTACACCACCTGGAGGACTTGGAGTTATGGAAGGAAAAGCATTATTAATGAAATATTTAGGAGGAATTGATGCAGTCCCAATTTGTATTGATTCCAAGAATAAAGAAGGAAAGAATGATCCAGATGCTGTTATTGAATTTGTCCAAAGAATTCAACATACATTTGGAGCTATTAATTTAGAAGATATTTCACAACCAAATTGTTATAAGATTCTTGATGTTCTTAGAGAAAGTTGTGATATTCCAGTATGGCATGATGATCAACAAGGAACTGCATCAGTTACACTTGCAGGATTATTGAATGCATTAAAATTAGTAAAGAAAGATATTCATGAATGCCGAATGGTATTTATTGGAGCAGGATCATCAAATACTACATGCCTTAGACTTATTGTTACAGCAGGAGCTGATCCAAAGAAAATTGTTATGTTTGATAGTAAAGGATCACTTCATAATGGAAGAGAAGATATTAAGAAAGATACAAGATTCTATAGAAAATGGGAAATTTGTGAAACTACTAATCCAAGTAAATTTGGTAGTATTGCAGAGGCATGTGTTGGAGCTGATGTTTTAATTTCACTTTCAACACCAGGTCCAGGAGTAGTTAAAGCTGAATGGATTAAGTCTATGGGAGAAAAACCAATTGTATTCTGTTGTGCTAATCCAGTTCCAGAAATCTATCCATATGAAGCAAAAGAAGCTGGAGCATATATTGTAGCAACAGGAAGAGGAGATTTCCCTAACCAAGTTAATAATTCAGTTGGATTCCCAGGTATTCTTAAAGGAGCATTAATTGTTAGAGCAAGAAAGATTACAGATAATATGGCAATTGCAGCCTCAAGAGCACTTGCTGAATTTGCTGAGAAGAGAGGTATTAATCCAGACAATATTATTGGTACTATGGATGAACCAGGTATTTTCCCAAAGGAAGCAGCTGATGTTGCTATGCAAGCTATTAAAGACGGAGTTGCACGTGTTACTGATCTTACTTGGCAACAAGTCTATGATATTGCTGAACATGATATTAAGGAAGCAAGAGAATCAGCACAACTCTTACAAGATTCAAAACACATTGTTGACTTCCCACAAGAAACTCTTAATGAGTGTCTTGCTTATGCTATTAACAAAGTCACTGGAAAATGAATCAATTAACAAATTAAGAAGATTTTAAAGGTTTTTTTTTGTATTTTTTGATATATTTTACATAATAATAAAGTATTTGGAAAAAAGAATTTTGTATTTATCTTTGTTGTAATTTTTCTTTCTTTAGAACTTGTAATTTTATTCTTCTCTTTCATTTATGGAACTTCCTTCTTCTCTTCTTCTCCAAGAAATAACCTCCCAATCTCCTGAAAATGATCAAGTTTTCAGACTTACACAACGTGTATCTCAACTAGAAGAAAGAGTCTTTTTATTAGAAAAAAGACTACAACAGACATTGACTTATCTCATTTCTTCTCACACAAACATACAACAATCCCCTTCTCTACCTCAACCTCTTTTTGAAGAGAAGAAAAAGTCACTTGAACATGAGTTACAAACAATTCTCATTGAAAACCAAAATCTAAGACATCAATACTCACAACTTATTTCATCAAATCAAATTCAACCTCTTTCTTCCTTAGTTAGCTCACAGAATAGTACTAATTCAATTGATAACATTTCTATCATTATCAATGACATTTCTAATAATACATTATCACCAACGGTAGTTCAACAAATCCAACAATTAGATTCTCAACTTTCTTGTACATCTAACTCAAGTAATAATACAAATCTGTCGAATACTTTTCTCAATGATTCATCCAAAACTATTCAAAATTATATTATTACAAATTAGTCCTTTTTCACATTAATCTTCATTAAATATAATTTCTTAATTGTTAAAACAAAATTGATTTTTTTTTATTATTGTTGTTCATCATATTCATTTTAACTCTATGATAATACTTCGTTAATTGCTTTTCTTTAACTTTCATTTTATTCATACCAATCTGTTTATTTTTATTGTCATAACATTTCTATTGTATTTCATTTCTTAATGTAATTAGAAAATAGAGAATATTAACTGTTTTAATATCATCTTTTTGTTTTCAATAAAAAACCATAAAATATATTATAATTATAATTATTGAATATGTTAATACTAAATTTTAATCTATGAAATAACTATATAACAATGAGCAATGAAGAGTATAAATTAGATGGCTCTACTTTTCTCAAAATGGTTCTTGTAATTGACCCATCTTTTTCAAAGTTTATGGAAGGAAATTATGAAAGAATAATGAGATGTAATTCATCAATTGACCATATGGTTACACTCAGTACTGCTTTTTCTCAATTCTACAGAAATGTTTCTATTCCTTATGAAGACAGATTTCAACTTTATAAACATGTTACTCTTCTTAAAACTAATCCTCAAGCACAACTTATGTTTCAACAACTCGATGAAAAAACTCAAAAATTTCTGTGTATGTTTTTTGGTGAAATTAAACAAATCCAAAACTCAATAAAACTCAATGGCTATAATCGCTTTAGTGATGAAAATCTTCGGAAAGAATTTGACAGATATCTTCTTTCCCATTCTCCTGACTCAATCAAAGATTACGATATCAATAAATTAATTGACCCTTTCTTTCTTGACCAACACCAATCATTAGTATCAAAGAAATCAGATCTTCTTACTAAATTCCAATCCGCATCTCCAAAACAACTCTACAACATCCTTATTTTACTCAAAGATAGCAAAATCACATCATCCGATGAAAATGATTTTGAAATAGACTTTAATACATTAACTAATTCAGAATGTGATCAAATTTTAAAAGTATTAACATCCTCTAATTGAATTTTGTACTTTAAGTTATTTACTCTTTTCTTTTTACCAACTCATTTCTTCTTTATCTTTTATCTTGTCTCAAATAACTACTCTCTTCTTATTCTTACTTCATTCATCCTATCATTACTCCTCTTTTCTTTTTAGTATTCATCTATTATCTCTCTTAAAATCATCTCTGACATTTAAAAGAATGTATTAGTATTAAAGTTTGCTTAAGAAAATAATACGTTATAAAAGATAATCTTTTTAAATATCCGAATAAACAGATGTAATGTTTTTCTTAATATAAACGTTTTTATAAAATAACAAGGGTTTTTTTAAAAACTGAAATAGTTATAATAAATGGAGTATTATGACACTCATTGCAACGTTCCTTGTATTCTTGAAAAGTACAAAAAAACTAGTTATGAAGAGTATTTAAAGATAGTTGAAGAGACTTATTGTAAATTAGATAAAAAACCAATATTTAAAGGTTGTGTTTGTGTTGCAAGTGATAAAGAAAGTCACCAACCAACAAAAGAATTAGAAGAACATGTTTATAGTGTATATGGAATTCATCCATTGTATTGTAATTCAGTAGATGAAAGTGTTTATGATGAAATTAGTTTATTAATTCAATCAAAGAAGTGTGTTGCTCTTGGTGAGACTGGACTAGATTATCATGAATTTCCTGGAATGAACTATGCAAATAAAGATCAACAATTAAATGCCTTTAAAAAACAATTAAGTATTGCTAAGCAATTTAATAAACCACTTGTATTACATACACGAGAAGCAGATGAAGATACTAAACAAGTCATGAAAGAGTTAATTGACCCAATGACTTTTATTGATGTTCACTGTTATACAGGAACAATAGAACTTGCTAAATGGATAATACAAGAATTTCCAAATGCATTTATTGGTATTGCTGGTGTTATTACATTTAAAAATGGTCAAAGTATTAGAGACTTAGTAAAAGTTATTCCATTAGAAAGGATATTAGTTGAAACTGATGGACCTTTTATGGCACCAGTACCATTTAGAGGAAAGCCATGTCATTCAGGAATGATTCCATGGATAATTAAAGAAATTGCTCGAGTGAAAGAAGTTGACGAAGAAGTTGTTTATAAACAAACAACTCAAAACGCTCAAAGGATGTTTTCAATAGAATAATTCAGTTCTTGTTAAGAATTTTGAAGAATGGTTGACCACGTTGAGCTGACATCAATATGATGTGTCACTACCTTTTTAAACTTTCAATTATTTAACTAAAGTACATCATGCAAACACACTCATTTAATGAAATAGCTTGGGAAGACAGAACATCCTCAGTTAAAATTATGCTGTTTCTTAATGAAATAGGTAATTTTGATAAAAGTAAGATTAAAGTAACTTTTAATACAGACACAGTAGATGTATTTGTAGAACAGTTTAAAGGGGTTAATTATCATTTTGAACGAAAGACATTTGCTGCAATTATTCCAGGTCAATCAAGGTATACATTATCTTCAAATAGAATAAATCTAATTCTTCAAAAGGAGAAAAATGAACCATGGTCTTCATTTGAAAAAGCTAAAGATATAAAAATGCCTAAAATGAATAATAAAGATCCACAAGCTGGTTTAATGGATATGATGAAACAAATGTATGAAGATGGTGATGATGATATGAAACGAACGATTGCAAAAGCATGGAGTGAAGCTCAAGACAAGAAATTATCAGGAAAAGATCCATTAGATGAAATGAAATAATTTAATTAGATTGATTTTTAACTTTTTTATTTTAACAAAACAACAAAAAAAAATTAAAAATTTTACTTGACAAATCAAAACCTAAATTAAGCTTCAACAACTTCTCCTTTTTCTTCAACAACTGGGGTAGCTTCAACTGGTGCACTAGTGTCTTGATGTTGGTCAAGAAGTTTAAGTGAATCAATTTTACCAGCCTTAAGAATCTTAACTTTACGAATGTAGACATTGTCCATTGAGAAGACTTTGCTACATTTAGCAACAATTTCTTTTGGAAGTTTGTTTTCTCTAAGATAATCAACAAATTGTGTAAGTTCACGTGAAGCAGCTTCTTTAGTGATAAGATTATTCATGATCTTTCTAATCTTCTTAATTTGAGCACTTTTAGCATATGAAGTTTTCTTGATTTGGTTGGATTTTCTGCTAGTGAATCCAATGCAGAAGATTCTAATTAAATGTCCGTCAGTAGTTTTAACATCAACTGATGTTTCAATAAGAGTACACCACTTCTTAACAATTGATCTTAATTTATCAGTTGTGAGTTTAAGTCCATGGAAGATCATAAGGCAATCTTTTCCATTAACATCTTCACATTTAAATTTGTAGTTGTATGCTCCAAATTTTTCATTTTCCATGAGATCAGCAAGATTTACTTCAACAACTCTTCCTTTAAGTTGTTCTGAAGCAATTCTAGTACCAGCTGTTTTATTAACGACGATTTGTCCGACGGTTCTTCTCTTGAAGTTCTTTGGTACTTTAACGTTGTACCATTCCTTCTTGGAGAATGGCTCAGCAATCTTTCTCTTGCTTCCCTTCTTAACGTTTCCTGCCTTATACTTCTTATTCTTTCCTGTTGCCATAACTTAGAGAAGATGTTTTATTTTTTTTCAGTTATCTTTAAATACATCTTCTTTTTTAAATGGTTTTTTTTTCATTTTATTCTAGTTTCTGATATAGTTCCAAGGGTTATATTTTTTCTATTCCTTTATTATAATATTTATCATGTATAGTTTAGATAAAATAATTAACAACTTCTTATTCAAATTTTGACTAAATCCCAGTTTTTTTATGTAATATTCTTCTAACTTTTTTTTATTTTATTTTAGAGACAATTTGTTATTTTTTACTATAAAATACATTAACTTTTTCTAATTTATTTTTTTTATAAATTTTACATATTTTTACTATAAAATTCCATTAATTTTATCTAAATTTTATTTCCTAAATTTTTATATTTCAAATAGTAAAAATTTTCTTTATTATAAATTTCACATCTTTCTTAGTTTTTGAATAAAAACGAGTAAATTTTATACTTTCAATATTGTTTTACCTTAGAATCAGGTTGTATTTGCCTAAAGTACATTATTTACATTATTTTAGAAATTAGAAAATATATATAAATTTTCAGCATCTGCATTATATGAAAATTAAACATAAAAGATTGATAGAAAAATAACCCACTCAATATAAACCAAAAACTAATAATTTACTTTATTTCATTTAAATAAAAAGAAGAAAGTGGAAATTGAGCAAAACGAAAGATAAAAAAGACAAATTTAATCTTATTAATTTTTAATCAAGAAAATGAACTCAAGTGTAGTCAGCTTAATTTTTCTTGTTTTATTGTGTTGTCAAACTGTTATCCAATCAATTCTAGGAAGATACTCAAGGGGTGTATTACATGAAACATACTCAATACCATCAACTATTGTATTTAATGAAATATTAAAATTTTTAATTTGTTTGGTCATGTTAAAATTTGTTCATAAAAAGGAGAATTTACTTCAGCATGTTATTTATTTAATTAAAACATCCCTTATTGCGTCAGTTCCTGGTTGTATTTATTTTATTCAAAATATGCTTCTTTATATTATCCTTCAAAACACACAAGCAGCTGTTTACACTGTTATTATTCAGTTAAAAGTATTTACTACTGCAATATTTTCAGTACTATTCCTTGGACGTAAGCTTTCAATTGCACAATGGAGAGCATTAGCTTTATTAGTTACAGGAGTAATTCTTGTTGAGATTAGTACAAACCGTTATTCAAGTGAAAAAAAGAATGAAACTGAAAACAATCTACTTGGAATTGTTTTGAGTTTAGTAATGGCATGTTGTTCTGGTTTTAGTGGTGTTTATATGGAAAAGATCTTGAAAAATAAAACAAGTGGAACTGAGCCATTAAATATTTGGGAAAGAAATATTCAGTTATGCGTTTATGGATGTGGATTTGCCCTTTTATCTACTTTCATTTTTGATGGTAAATCAATACTTGATAATGGGTTCTTTGGTGGATGGTCATATATCACTGTTTTATTAATTATTATTCAAGGAGTTGGAGGAATTTTTGTGGCATTAGTTATGACATATGCTGATAATATTGTTAAAGGATTTTCCATTGGATGTGCCATTGTATTAACAACCATATGTTCTATTTTTATTTTTGGAACACAAGTAGACACTACTTTTATAATTGGAGCAGCTTTTGTCATTATTTCAATTGCTAATTATAATGATAAGTACGTAAAGGCTGAAAACTAATTTTTTTCTTTAAGAAAAGAAAAAATAAAAATATTAGAAGAAAGAAATATAAAAAACTTTAATTGATTTTTTATTTTTCTTTAAAAAATATTATATTGTTTTAATATCAAAAATTAAATAAGAGAATTAATATGACGTGTGAGTTAAAGGAAAATAGTAATAGAGAAAAAAAATGAAGAAAACTTTAAAATTAAACAAAAGGAAAAAGGACCAGAAAGAAAGATGGGAAGGTCTTTAAAAACTACTAAGAAAATTATGTCATATCATGACTTAGTTGAAATGATTAAAAAGGGGGCTATTGTTTTTGAGAAAGAATTTAAAACTATTCCAACAAAAGAATCTGCTTTGAAAACGTATATAAAAAAGTTAGAAAAAGAATTAAATAGTATGTATGTTTCATTAAATTTCCAAATTAAAATTGACTCTATTGAAGACCAATTAAATATGATTGATAATATTATTCATATATGGAGTATTTTACTTAATATAATAAAAGAAGTAGACCAAATGATAATACCTCATATTTTTTATAAGTTTATTATTATGTTGGTTAATCGAAGTGAAGTACAACCACATCATCTTCTTGTAAATAATCCTTCTCTTAAAGAATCCAATAGAAATGAATTTTTAATAAGAGCAATAGACTTAAGAAAATTAACGTATGAAACGTTTTTTTGTATTGGAGATATATTAACCTCAAAACAGTTTACATTATTTGCCTCAATGAAACTTGTCTTAAAACCAAAGAAACCATCAACAGAAAGTAAAGAAGAACCAAAAGAGAAAAAGAAAAAAAAAGAAGAACCTGTATTTTCAAATGAATCAATTAAAATTAGTGTAAAGGAATACAAAGATGGAAAAATAAATATCAACGAAGATAGTTTTGAAATAGAAAATGAAGGTAAAGAAGAAGATAAAAATTTAACTCAAAAAGATATTATCGTTAATGAGATTGAAGCCAGTTTAAAAACAGTAGAAGGGAATACTGTTTCTATTAATGAAGAAAGAAGACAGTCAGTATTATCTCGAGTTTTGATTAAACCAATGGAAGATGTTGAAAATTCAAAAGATGAATCTATGACAAAAAAACAAAAACGGTTTTCATCTCAACTTGGAGAATCAATTTTTGTTGAAGATGAATTTTTTTGTGAGAACAATGTATCACCACTATTTATTCAATTCTTTCCACATTATCTTGCATTTATGTTCTTTCAAATTCCAGAATTTCGGAGTCAATTATTAAAAATAGTTAAAGGAACAAATACCAATCTTATGGCATTTTCAAAATGTATGTCAGAAGAAGAAGTAATGGAAGTTAAAAGAAAGTTTCCAAGAATTTTTGGATTTGATGAAATGGAAAGAATTATTAAATCAATTAGTAAAGAAGATATAAGTGAAAAATTTAAGAGAATAAATTTAAATTGGATTAATTTATTAAATCCAAATAGTGATATTTTTATGTCTTTCTATTTCAATTATATTAAATTTATTTATTTCACCATTAAAGGACAAGATGATTTTATTGACTATGGTGAAATTTATGGATTAGAAGAATTTATTAATTCATATGTTTGTCAGAGATTAGAATTTCCTAAAAATCATTCTATCTCTATTATGAGTGAAAATGATAAAAGAAGTTTACTTATAGACTATCCTACTGTAGTAAATTATATGATTGAACACTTATTTGATATTACTAATAGATATGATATTAGTCAATGTGATCTTGCTGTAAGTTTATTAGGAAAATGGTTTAATATATTAATTGAACATAAACGAATGAGTAATGAACAATTTGAAATTGAAGTGTTTATTGAAGGAATTAATAAAATACTTGAAACTGATCATTATCAATTAATAATTAATACATTATCTATGTTATATGATGCATCATTTTTCTTTATTGGTAAGGCACGATTATTGTTATTTAAAGATTTGTTAATTGATAAATGGTTTATGAAATTATTTAACCATTGGAATAATACTGTTAGACAAATCTTTCATCATTTTATATTGTATAAATTCTTATTTACAAGAAGGTCTCATCTTAATTGGAGTAAATTTGATAAAAATGAATCTTCTCTAATAAAAAAACAATTAAAACGTGGTGTTAAAATGGAAGATATTGATCGAATTATTTTTGATAGTCTTGAAGAGAAACTAAATGAAGTGAAAATGATTATTGATGGTGATACAACACTTCCTTATTCTTTTCTTAAACTTTATTGTCAATCTTCAATTGTTGAATACCAAAATGCTTTACGTTTGTATATTGATTGGGATAAGGCTAATCTTAAAGAAGTACCTAAAACATGTTCTCCATTTACTGAATTTGATTTGGAAACTTTGACATAATTTTAATTAATTTGATGTTTTTTGTTACTTTTGGTAATGATTTGTGTTATTAAAAAGGAAAACCTAAAAATATAACAAACAAAAACGTTGGAACTTAAAAATTTTCATTCATACAGAAGATGGAGTTTAGATCTATTCCAAAGCCTATTGCTAGTGAAGATATTGAATTGGTTAATGGAGAGAAATTTATCAATGACTTTGACTCTTTTTGTAATTTGGAAGATGCAAATAAAAGACTTCCATCAATTAGGAAAACAGGAGAAGCAGCACGATTTTTGTTTAGTCCAACCCAATGCAAAGAATTTGTTAGTAAATTAGTTAAAGAAATAGAAAAAGAAGAAACAGTTAGTATTAAAGTTATTGCTATTCAACAATTAATTTATTTTATTGAAAAGTGTCATTCAGAAAATATTAATTTATATAATGAATTATATGGATTAATGAAAGAATTAGTAAAAGATGAAACAGAAGAAATAGCATTAGCAGCAAAAGATGTAATGAAGAAATTAGGGGAATATTTAAATGAAGATAAAGAGATTGAAGAATATTTAGACCAAGTAGATTCATTAATAGGAAATGTAGATGGATTTATAAGTTCAATAGGACTTGATTTACTTAATTATTTTGCTGCTAAATCATCAAAAGAAAATGTAAAAAAATTTATTTTTAATAGATTAAAGAAAATGTCACAAAGTATTCAATTTATTATGAGAAAAGGAGCTGTCACTACATTCCCAGCAATATTATCAAATATTGAAGAAGAAGATATTCCAGAAGTACTTTCAATATTTGATGAATTATCAAAAGATTCAGTTTATTCAGTTAGAAAAACATGTGTTGTTGTATTAAACCAAATTCTTAATATATTTACAAATAATAAACCAAAAGTATTAGAATATATTATTCAATTTATTGAAGATAATTCAAGATATGTTAGATTCCAAGTAATTGTTAATTTTGGTAAGTTTATTCAATTTATTGGTAAAGATTTAATTAATCAAAAAATTATTGATTTCTTTAATAACAATTGTGGAAATGAAGCAGATTCAGAACAACAATATTATGCAGCTTATTATTTTGTTACTTTAATTCAAACTATTGGTGGTAATCAATGGAATCTTGTTGCTGACTCTTTTAGTAAATTAGCACTTAGTATACATGGAAAAATAGAAAATG